CCCTACCTACACCTATGCCTAGTGGACTGATGGTCGATGCCCGTTTGCGCCATTTCCACAACGTACCAGACGGCGCTTCTGTCTAGACAAACAAAGTACCCTTCATGTGATTTCTTAGCCAATAAGCTCCACTTCTCAGGCGGGTTTTTAATCGTGTTATCTCCGGTTGAAATTCTCATGTTAAGATTTGCTAAATATTCTCTGCAGCAATTTACACGAAAATCCTTTGGATGTTTTGACGATGTCAGCTTCTGGCCAGTTGTGAAGGCCTTAAGTGGGGTTCACCAGTGGTGCTGAAAAATCCAAAATGGGAAGAGTTGTGTGAATTTCAGACGCGTAGTTCTGGTTGTAGCTCAATCCTGCTGGATCACGCACGATGCTAGATGTGCTCTTTCTACTTGGGTTGCAAGGGAACTCGCAAAACGTCTCCGTCGCTTGGGATACACGTTGTCGAGGAGTTGAGAGCACTTACTTCGACGTCCTTCATTAAGCCTGACCTAATAGCTGTTCGAAAGCGCCGAGCAACTGTGATAGATATCAGCATAGTCTCGGATGGGCGCAGAGTGACTGTGTGGAATGAGAAGAAGCAGAAGTATGGTGCTGATAAATATTCTCGCCACAATCTCAGCCCTACATGCAATCGGTTGTGATGTCGACTTTTTGGTCCACCATCCGATGATCATCTCTTATCGAGGGATCTGCTTTACTCAATCCGCCAGTTACTGGACTGAGACTTCCTAAGGTCACAGTCAGTGACATGTGTGCTTGTCACTGTGAGCCCTTTGCGTACTTACGGCACTTTTATGCGTGCTACATGGCGTTGAGTGTACATACTTGACATTGAGTCTCACACCAGACCCACACCAGACCCATTATGACCGCACTTTGTGCTTGATATGCGAGTCTTTACTGTGCTAGCGCTTACCGCGCCTTGAGGAGTATTCAGCATTATTTTTCCCTTCTTAACTTGTTGGATGTTGTGTTTCTAACAATCCCTACATATATTGGGATTCATCTTGTTTGACTGGAACTGCTGATGGCATGAATTCGAATAAAACGCTTCTCTCTTTTTAATTATTCTTCCAAAAACCCGACTTGTTTGCATTTGGGAATCGCGTGTTTGAAGATACAACAAACAGGGTATAGAACTTAACTGATCAATACTTCCTATTGTACTCAACTATCCACCGTCACTCATAGAATCTTGTTTAAAGAGTGTAAAATATTTGCCTAAGTAATGAAGTGTGGAAAAGATTAACGCCAGTACTCAAACTAACGTCCATCATCTGTTTCTCCTTGCTAGAATGACGGTTTATTTTGGTTCTTTGAATGCAATGCATTTCGGATGTCTAATCCTGAATGGGCATGCGAATAAGCGGAACGTTTTTAATGACGCAGAGAGTAGGTAACAATCGTCTGTGATTCATGAACATACCTCTTTGTCACGCTCTCATCATAAACCCGATCCCTTTATCGCGTCACCCGTGTGTTACACATACAGAATCCTCCTCACATCTCTCGTTTTTCTTAATGACCCTGTTTTTAAAGATTCTCAGCCTGGAACCCTCGATCGGGCGACATGTCGCTGGGATCAGGCGTGATCTGCTCCGGCTAGTTGGTGTTGGCGAATTTTCTCCAGAAGCCGTTTGGGTCCCACCTCATTTGAATCAGGAAACTCCTGTACTCGGAGATCACCACACAACGGTTGGATCCTCGGGTGTGCTGCGTTCCCTGCTGGTCTATCTACCCGAAGTGGCCTGCCCTACTTGCAATTTCACTCGTGATATCGACGTATGTCGTGACACTCATCTGGTTCAACTGTCAGATGGCGCAAACCTGGCTGGTGAACCAACAGTGCATTGGACTTGGATTTGTCCACACTGTCGTACGGTATATCCAAGAGGTCGTATGGAGGAGGCCTTGGTTCAACAGCTCGAACAGATAGCACTTCAACATTGTCTGCAGGTCAGTGATTGGCCAATTTTTTTACCACCCATCGGTGACTCCTCGATTGTCTCTTCTGTCTGTCCTACGATTTTTTTGCACTTTGTTTGTGAGGTCTCCTTTCAACTCGATTTGGGTTAGCAGAAGTCGATCTAAGTCAGGTTCCAATACTTTCAGGAATGGGTTGCCTGTCCTCCAAGCATCAAGTACAGTCCTTCCTGTGAATGTTGCCCTCGTCAAACACGGATATTTTGTCAGACCATCTGGTGGTGCGAAACGCAAGTTAGAGACCTCTACTGGGACCAGTGCCTCGTTGGAAATGTGGGAAGAAATTTTTCGTATTCTCGTAATTGACCAATTCGTAGTTGAGTAGATTAAATGCTGTTGACTGAATTTTTGATCATTGTTTTAAATTGCATATGGCCTTCCACTTTCGATGGCTGTAGTCTCACCTTGTTCTACATCCTCATATGGTAAGAAATCCCGGCACCATATTGTAGCAAGTGTGCTATGTGAAGGTGCACATTGCACCGCTTCCTCAGAGTCCATACACAAGCACCAACTCACTGTTAATCCGCAGAACACATACAGGCGGTTCCCCTAGTTATCGCCTTTTTATATCATTTTCGTGGCCTTAGAATTGTTTTACGGGTTCGCGTATGTGATTTAGCGATGTCCTGATCGAGTCCGTTATCACTCAAACGGTTTTTTGTCTGTTTTTCTCCAATATCATTCCCACATACAGGATCTACAGTGTCCGAAGTGCCTTACGGGGGGTGGAATTCAGGAGACTATTTTAGCTCAAGGTGGTTCCGTTTCTCATTGCGCCGAATGCTCGAGTCGTCTCATTCTCACGGTACCCACCGGAACAACTCTTCAGAAGAAATTTCTTGTCTACCGTGAAATAGGTATGCATTTTGGCTTTGCTTGTTTGGAACAGACTGCATCCTGGTTGCTTTCTGGCCTGCAGCTACCGCAATCCTTGTCATAATGACAAACTTTATGGTGCATTTATCTCAGAGGAAGTGTTACCATGTTGGTTTTACTCGTGTTTTTATGCACCCTATTTTTTCAACCAGATTTTCATGTATATTTTCGCTATCATGAATAGAATTTTTTGACTTACGGTCTTTGTTTTTTTGTTCTTGTCTTACACTTTTGACCTGTTTGCACAGTGCCTGAATCAGCGATTTCACAACGCACTCACCTCACTTCTTGTTTGATAATGTGCTTTTCGTATGCGTATGCATGTCATTGTTAAACGGCACTCGTGTTTTGGAGCATATACATACTAAATCTGCCTGCTCGTCGGCAGGCCAATTTCCGCTGTTCTCCAATGAAAAATTATTGTGACATCACATTTGCAAGGTTAACTAATCACCAGAGTAGTCGTTTACCACTTTAGTCGCGAGCTAAGTAGGTGTATTCCAACCCCGTTTTGTAAGTTAATTTAGCTAAGACAACACCGCCGAAGTATGACCGACAGACCGGTATCCTATCCACGAATGCCAGTCGATGAAAATTGAAATATTTAGCTTCGGTGTACGGTTGGTATGTTACGTACTTCAGCGCTTGGCCACATGTGCAGACTCGAAGGCACAGTATTAGCGAAAAGACCCATCATCCAGTTTACAAAAACTTACCAGCCCAAGCATGGAGCGCGTCACCGTCTAATAAGTATGTCTCGTGCAGTACTGAGGCGCTGTGAACTAGCGCGCCACTTCATCATGGTCAAAAGTGACAGTTCCAGGTCAATTAAGTGGGAACGGGCAAGGTAGCTGACTCTTGTTCAGCCGTGTCCTTACTGTCAGACTGAGAGTGATCCCCCAGAACGATACTAAGTAATGGGGGGTCTTCATCATCTAAGAGGCAGGTGAGTTGTGTGATTGGCCACAGAAACAGTGATATGTAACGATAAACATCAGCATATGCCAAATCACGAAGACCAGAGGACAGTTCGTTTTGTTCTATCAGAACTTTTCAGCGTGCGCGCAAGTCAAATGCATATCTTCTTGCCTCAGTAGCTACTCAAGCACTCGTGTAGAGAATCGCCGATGTTCAAAAAGACATAGGAATCACGAATGCGGCTTGCGAGGCTCCTAATTTCAATGCTTTATACCAGTCAACATACCATAATGATTAACTTGGTTCCCTCGATGCATTGTTTAATCTTTCATAATTCAAATGGATCCCAACCACTTTATACAAATCACTGAACCAGCTAAAGGAAATGATCGGTTCAGAAGAGGCGAGTTGCTTCCACGGTGGAATGACCCGGCAGTTCGAAGCCGTCCAAATAATCACTTCAATAAAATTAAAGCGATTCATTTGCTTCCAGGTTTCTAGACGCATACCGGATTACATCTCTCAACAACAAGAAACTAAACACAACGCTCAGTCACATCAAGCATATTCCCATTTGAGTGCCAAGCCGAACTAATCACCCCTCCCGGCTTTTTCACTGGCAAGCAGCGCCTTGTGTTAGTTCAGCATTGATTGCTAGCTTTGTTTGATTCATTTATTCGGGTCTTAGGACTTCTTGGGTTTGCATCCCTCACTACGACATCAGGGTTCACATGTGTATCCTAGTCGTATGCTCGGTTGGCATCAGTTCTCTGATAACATTCTAATGTCACTGATAATCAGTGGGTCTTAGGACTTCTTGGGTTTGCATCCCGCACTGCGACATCAGGGTTCACATGTGTATCCTCATCGTATGCTCGGTTGGCATCAGTTCTCGGATAACATTCTAATGTCACTGATAATCAGCTGTTGCTTTCGTCCAGTCTGGTACACACAGCCTGGTCGCACTCACGTATTACAGTGTAGATGAATGGCGAGCGCCTGTGCAGTCGGTGCAGTGCGTTCACTGAATGTGCACGACAGAGCCGGCACTTCGGGCTCTGCAAAAAGACTTACGCTGAGGCGGGTTTTCATCCCATAAGAACACCTTAATTTCGTCTCGGGAGATGATAATGATGCCATCGCGACACTTAGACTGGCTTTAGTATACATAAAACTCTCAGGACGTCGTCATATTCATTGCATGGTTCAATGAGAGCTCGAAAGAAGTTGAATGTAAGAAGAACTATGCTTAACATGGGCTTAGTAATAGATTCGGATGGGTCTGCTTAGAACGGATCCCCACGTTATGAACGTGCTGTTCTATTGAGGGAAGTATTCCACCGTTTGATGCACTTTAGCTGAGTGGGTGGCACATGGTTTTATGGTCACTGACAGGTAGCATACAACAAGACAGAGAAAGTCCGGCGTACGGGTAACGGATGCTTATTGCCCTGCTTGCTCCAGTATGCGGACACTAAATGCTTTCTGGGTTTGAAAACACACTTTGAGGTGTTTAATGGGTGCTAGTGAAGTCGGACGCACACAGGCTGTAGCTGGGCGTGACGTGAGCGAACAAGGCAGTCAGTCTTAGTTCTGGGACTTGCAGTGAGCTTATTAATTTTGGAGGGGAAGCGTCAGTTGTAAAGTGTAGTCGCTTTCCGCCCTGCTGAATGTACGAAGTAAGACGACTCGGGTGTTGACACCACTTGTCGACCGACGTGACGTTTTTAGTTGTCGTCCGTTGTTGTAGGCCAGCTGAGATACTGTGAAGACGCCTCACCTAGACATAGGAACGATTAGGGTCCTCGACAAAAGCCTGACAGCAACGTAACGGGTGGGTGCCGGCATATTATGACAGCAGTAAGGTACTCAAGGAACATGTCGCTGTACCTGTTACCAACTTCCGACTTGCAGGGCCTGGTGATTGTTCGTCATACCTATATCCACTGATCCACCTGGTACGAGAAACTCTGTGATTATCAAAGTGAAACCCCAAGTATAGCCCAGTGGGTAGGCAATCCCCACACCGCGATGAGGTCTAGTCTGTAAGTACGGATAATATCACAAAACCATGGGTTTAAAATTCTAAAGTCCTCTTGGAGACGATTAACAGTGGTTAATATACCATTTCAACCTCCACAACACATTTGGCCATGAATAATATTCACCGACAAATAACGTACTTTCGTTAGGTGTGCTATAGCGTCTTTTTGTCTTTGACTTGAGAATATAAGCTTGTGTGCAGTGGATACGTCAATCCCAAAATGGATGAGGAATTGGAGCACCAGGATATAGGAAGCCGTTGAAAACTTCGTAATGTGCCTGCGTATATGTAACATGACCACGGTATTGGCTAGTTGGTGGTTTTCTACAGCACATTCTCTAGGTGAGGATTAAGAGCTTTCACAGTGACAGAGCATCAAGTTGCTCACACGTCGACCGAGGTGGCGCGGGGGATGTACAAGCTACTAGTCCTGATGTCGGTGGCTTTGAAACCAATTTTTTGGCATTTTATTGCTGTTGTCTGTGGCTTACTTCTCTGATGGAGCTATGCACGGAAAGTGTGCCACAGCGAGTCATCTATATTCTTCTGTTTGACCATGAGCATGTTTCCCGGCTGCATGGCCTTCGTTTTTCACACCCGAAACCTTACAATCTTATTTGATGCACTCTATCCTTACTTTTCAACAGTTTGTAGTTTCTGTAAATTTACTCTTCGACAGCGAAGAATGCTGCCGCGTTCGTTGTCTCTACAGCTACCTGTGATCACTGAGGCGATTTCGCTCTAGGTTTTCAGCTCTGTTGGGATTTGGTTTTTGTCGTGTACAACACGTGAACCTGGTACGGATATCATATGTCAGATAGGGGACAGCTGTTTGGAGCATCTGATATGTTCATATCTGGGTGTTTCTCCAATGAAAGTTTTATGCCCCGGGATTGCGTTTCAAACTTACTTCGTCGCACGATCGTGGTGAAACAAACAACGCATATTCACTGTTAGCGTAATGCCCACGATGTTTCATTTTTCCAATCTGTGACGTGTAAAATCTGTGTAAAATGACATACAAGATGGGTCTGGACGCATCTACAAACACTTTCGGCAATTCATTATCGCGATTAGCCAAAGTAGGCCCAACTCTGCAATTCAGATTGACGTAATCAGCTCAGCAAGCCACCATGATCATCATATACTTCATATAAACGTTAGTTTCCGGTTTTGAAGGATGCTACACAGTTGAAATAACATAGAACAGGGCAATTTGTGTTTCGTTTCAACTGGCACAGTAAACTTCTACCATTCTATTAGACATCAGTGTTCAACACCGATGCTTCACTGCCGTACAACCATGATTTATTTGAAAGCCCCATGGTGAAGAAAAGAGTAAAGGTGGACGAGGAACGGACTTAGTGCTAGCTTAACACAATCATTCCTAGGTGCCTATACCTCCACAGACATTCACTCAGGCAATCTGGATAGAAACTGACAACAAGAACGCCACTGACATCGGTTGGCAGCCATATCTTGTAGTGTCTCCAACCAGGCACAGTGAGGATCACGCGGTCCCCATCCTGGAAGGCGAGTAGCACCGACAGCACCCAAGCGTTTCGTGATCTCCTACATACTTTTCTGCCAAGTCAAGAGTTGACCACCTCTCTGTTTACGCTACTCTGAATTGGGCATGGAAAACAGCACTCTCTTCGGCAAACGATGGTTCGGTATACGTAACACATGTCCCAACCAACGCAGCTTCTGGTGCTGGACACATTCTTCAATGGAAGTACCCGTTACACAACCGAAAACACGCTTTCTCGCTGCCTCGTTACGGATTCGCCGATACCAACCCACGCGAGCTATGGTTCTGGGACAACGATTGTCGAACAGCGGACACTTAAATATTATTGTGGCGTTCCTGCGTGCCATGTCGGTGATGCCTGTCTATCTCCTATTTGAGCTGGAGCCTGTTACAAGTTTCTTGTTCCGAACGGCTCGAATAAAAACCACAGAAGGGACAGTTTGAAGCCTTTTCAAAATGGCGCAAGCTTTTGTTCACGTAGTCTCATGTTCAAGAATCCTAAGGTAATAAATAAACCACCGACTATCTCTGTTTGTTTGGAGCCATGTGCTCGCGCCAGCTCACATGTTGGCATGATTTTTCCGATTGGGCTCTAATAGGAATTCGTTAGTAACGTTCGCCTCTGAATGTGGCCAAACACTGATCCTCAAAGACCGGATCTTTCAATAAAGCTTGCTTGACGACTATTTTGTCGATACACGCTGAGGGCTACCGTCATTAGTTTTCAATCAGTCACTGTCTGCATTTAGGATAATATTAGACTATCTGTTCGAGTTGATGCATTAGCGGTGAGAAGCTTTATCCGGTATCGGATTACTGTCAGATCGAATTGAACGTGAAGGTCTGACCAATACACGAGCTCCAACTGAGTCGGAACGGGAGTTCAGTACCTCTTTCTTCGTTGTATGCATCAGCCTTACAAATTCATGTAGGATGCTAGTGCCGTGGATCCAATCCTGTAACCACTCTCTAGCATTATGGGTCACTGTTTTTTTGATTTGAGGCATTTTGGAACTACAGATAGAAGCACAGTAAGAACCGCCCGCGCTACCCTTCTACAATGACATTCTCTCTGTGTAAGCTGCGTTCGGTCGGTCACTAGCTTCATGTTTATGGTGCGGAAGACAGGGTCGACACTACTATGGTGCTTTTCACCATACCAACATGATCAGTGTGAATAGAAAGCGGATTACTTAGTGCATTACCCTATCTAGTGGGGAAATAGAATAAATACTGCTGGAATGCTTTGTTCTTCCTCAGGCGAGGCAACTCACATTCAGTAGAGCGCCATAGCGCCATTGTTCGGCCACGCAATTCGCATACGGTGGATCTCCCTGTCACACAGTCGCTTCCGCCCAACCACATGCTGACTGGAAACTCTTTCATGCTTTCAACTGGTGAGCTTGTGGACGAATAGGGATGAGGAATAGGAACAATGGTTTTTCTACTCCAGAGCCATTGTCTTCTGTGTTTAACTATCCAACAAGCCTGATGGGCCTACATCCGTTTCCGAATTTGCCTGTCAAATCGAAATACATACGCAGACCCTGCGCATCACTTCTAAGACACACCCAAGGCACACACGTCACTAGCTGTTGCTAGACGGCACTCAGCTTGGTCCGCACAGCAATGGCCACAGGAACTCACTCTTAGCATTGCTTTTGATATATGCTATGGGTTCTCCGGGGACTTAAGTAGGTTTTCTTGAAGACAAGTGGGAACAGCATTACAGCTGAATCCAACAGTGCCCCCTTCGAGTTGACTTTGGGTCAGAATTCTTCACAAACCAGACTACATGCGCATGGCTCCCCGTAGTCAGTCACAGCTTGAACTGATGATCACGAGACTCACTTCTGCCACCGTCACAGACTTGGAGTACGGAGGAGTTCAGTGTGCCAAAGCATTTCAATTTGTTTTCGTCTATACCGGTGATTGTCAAGATCTGTTTCTAGTACGGCCATAGGTTTAGCTGTCGGAGAACCTCAGGAAGCTAAGATGGATCTCATAAACTCACTTTATCCACCGAATTTTCGCTGATGATCCAACAGTCCAATGCATCCAATCGCGGTCTCCGGAGGTCCGGCTTGTCCTTTCATCAGGTTGAAGTGGTCAGAGGAAACCATAACATCTTGCAGACTTTAAGTATTTACCTCAAAGATATCGACCATTGAAATGACAGACCCCATTCGTAACATTTCTCTCCAAAACGTCTTGTTTTGTGTCTCCACTTCCAATCTCAAAAGATCAACGCTATGATCTCTCAGACTTTCAACCAGTGCCTAATTATCGATGCTTTTGTCCACCAGAGTTCGTTACTTAGTATTCGGTCGACCATACAGGTGCTTCTGACTCCTGTTTTTCTCCACTGGGCAAACAAGCCTCAATTACGATGAACGTTTGGATGGTACCGTTGCCTCCGCTCCATCGTGACGCAAGCTTCTCTCCTAGACATGTGAATGTGTTTCCAGTCAATTTCGACCTGATAGCTAATATATACATGGCCATGCCGAACCCCTTGTTGAGATTCATGATGCAGACTGACGCGTAGGTTCGACAATCCCGGATATCCAAAGGAAGAATTGGGTTCGAAATTCTACAGTACTATTTTCACAAGGGAAAGGGAATTTATACAACACATCTCAATTGTCTGTCACGAAGGGACTGGACCTTACCGTTGTGTGACGGTTTGCGCACCTCAGCGATCCATTGAGCTATACTGGAGAGTGTCCCGCGACTCACCCAGTCCATCATACCAGGCTGGTCAATGGTTAGAGGTCTGTCGGAAACGATTTCCTGGTCCTCCA